AGTTTGGGATGGGCCCAGGTGAGCTCAGGTGTGTCAGGGATGGGCCCAGGTGTGTCAGGGATGGCTCAGGTGAGTTTGGGATGGGCCCAGGTGAGTTTGAGATGCGCCCAGGTGAGTTTGAGATGCGCCCAGGTGAGCCCAGGTGTGTCAGGGATGGGCCCAGGTGAGTTTGGGATGGGCCCAGGTGAGTTTGGGATGCGCCCAGGTGAGTTTGGGATGGGCCCAGGTGAGCCCAGGTGAGTTTGGGATGGGTTTGGGATGGGTTCAGGTGTGTCCCAGGTGTGCCCAGGTGTGTCTCAGGTGTGCCCAGGTGTGCCCAGGTGTGTTACCTGGCGCTCAGGTGAGCGCGGGTGCAGGCACAGGCTGCGCTGGGTTATTGGGTGGGTTTATGGGATGGGTTCAGGTGTGTCTCAGGTTTGTTCAGGTGTGCCCAGGTGTGTCCCAGGTGTGCTCAGGTGTGCTCAGGTGTGCCCAGGTGTGTTACCTGGTGCTCAGGTGAGCGCGGGTGCAGGCACAGGCTGCGCTGGGTTATTGGGTGGGTTTATGGGATGGGTTCAGGTGTGTCAGGGATGGGTTCAGGTGTGCTCAGGTGTGTCTCACGTGTGCCCAGGTGTGCCCAGGTGTGTTACCTGGTGCTCAGGTGAGCGCGGGTACAGGCACAGGCTGCGCTGGGTTTATGGGATGGGTTTGGGATGGGTTCAGGTGTGTCAGGGATGGGTTCAGGTGTGCTCAGGTGTGTCAGGGATGGGTTCAGGTGTGCTCAGGTGTGTCCCAGGTGTGCCCAGGTGTGTTACCTGGTGCTCAGGTGAGCGCGGGTGCAGGCACAGGCTGCGCTGGGTTATTGGGATGGATTTTGGGATGGGTTCAGGTGTGTCAGGGATGGGTTCAGGTGTGCTCAGGTGTGTCTCAGGTGTGTCTCAGGTGTGCTCAGGTGTGCCCAGGTGTGTTACCTGGTGCTCAGGTGTGTTACCTGGTGCTCAGGTGAGCGCGGGTGCAGGCACAGGCTGCGCTGGGTTTATGGGATGGGTTTGGGATGGGTTCAGGTGTGTCAGGGATGGGTTCAGGTGTGCTCAGGTGTGTCTCAGGTGTGCCCAGGTGTGTTACCTGGTGCCCAGGTGTGTTACCTGGTGCTCAGGTGAGCGCGGGTGCAGGCACAGGCTGCACTGGGTTATTGGGATGGGTTTGGGATGGGTTCAGGTGTGCTCAGGTGTGTCTCAGGTGTGCTCAGGTGTGCCCAGGTGTGTTACCTGGTGCTCAGGTGAGCGCGGGTGCAGGCACAGGCTGCGCTGGGTTATTGGGATGGGTTCAGGTGTGTCAGGGATGTGCTCAGGTGTGTTCAGGTGTGTCTCAGGTGTGCTCAGGTGTGTCTCAGGTGTGCCCAGGTGAGTTTTGGGTTACCTGGTGCTCAGGTGAGCGCGGGTGCAGGCACAGGCTGCGCAGCGCCGGCGGCGACACCGGGACCCTCCCCCGCACGTCCCCGCTGAGCTGCAGCAGGTGAAGGGCGGGGCCGACCCCCCCCGACAGCACCTGCGGGACTGGGAGTGACTGGGGGAACTGGGAGGGACTGGGAGGGACTGGGAGGGACTGGGAGGGACTGGGAGGGACTGGGATCAAACTGGGAGGGACTGGGAGGGACTGGGATGGACTGGGAGTGACTGGGGGAACTGGGAGGGACTGGGATAGACTGGGATCAAACTGGGATCAAACTGGGAGGGACTGGGAGGGAACTGGGAGGGACTGGGATAAACTGGGAGGGACTGGGAGGGACTGGGAGGGAACTGGGAGGGACTGGGATAAACTGGGAGGGAACTGGGAGGGACTGGGAGGGACTGGGGGAACTGGGATGGACTGGGATAGACTGGGATCAAACTGGGGTCAAACTGGGAGGGACTGGGAGGGACTGGGATAAACTGGGATCAAACTGGGAGGGACTGGGAGGGACTGGGATAAACTGGGATCAAACTGGGAGGGACTGGGAGGAACTGGGAGGGAACTGGGAGGGACTGGGATAAACTGGGATGGACTGGGATGGACTGGGAGGGACTGGGAGGGACTGGGAAAGACTGGGATCAAACTGGGAGGGACTGGGAGGGACTGGGAGGGAACTGGGAGGGAACTGGGAGGGACTGGGACCAAACTGGGATCAAACTAGGATGGATTGGGAGTGACTGGGAGGGACTGGGAGGGGCTGGGATAAACTGGGATAAACTGGGAGGCAATGGGATGAACTGGGAGGGAACTGGGATCAAACTGAGTGAACTGGGATGAAACTGGGACCAAACTGGGAGGGACTGGGGGGGACTGGGATGAACTGGGAGGGGATTGGGGGGGACTGGTGTGGAACCGGGTGAACTGGGGTGGTCCGGGATCAAACTGGGAGCTACTGGGACAGACTGGGAGGGACTGGGACCAAACTGGGCGGGTCTGGGCCGGGCACAGACCAGCTTACACTGGTCCATACTGGTCCATACTGGTTTATACTGGTTCATACTGGTCCCCGCTCACCAGGTCCTGGTGGAACAGCGCGTGGTGCTGCGGCGCCGCCAGCCCGAACACCGTGGTGGGCGTCCCCGAGCGCAGGTGCCAGAGCGTCAGGGCGGGGCCGCCGCCGCACACCTGCGGCCAGGTGGGTCAGACACGCCCCGGGGGCGGGGCCTCGCTCCTTTGATAAGCCCCTCCCCTTTTATTCAGCCCCTCCCCCTTTGGTAAGCCCCTCCCCTCGTCTTTAGCCCCGCCCCTTTTGCTGAAACCCCTCCCCTTTTAATCAGCCACGCCCCCTTTGATGAGGCCCCTCCCCTTCCCTCAAGCCCCTCCCCTTTTTATTCAGCCCCTCCCCCTTTGATAAGCCCCTCCCCTTATCTTTAGCCCCACCCCTTTGTTAAGCCCCTCTTATCTTTAGCCCCGCCCATTTGATAAGCCCCTTATCTTTAGCCCCGCCCCCTTTGATAAGCCCCTCCCCTTATCTTTAGCCCCGCCCCTTTGATAAGCCCCTTATCTTTATCCCCGCCCCTTTGATAAGCCCCTCCCCTTATCTTTAGCCCCTCCCCTTATCTGTAGCCCCGCCCCCTTTGATAAGTCCCTCCCCTTATCTTTAGCCCCGCCCCCTTCGATAAGCCCCTTATCTGTAGCCCCGCCCCCTTTGATAAGCCCCTCCCCTTATCTTTAGCCCCGCCCCTTTCCACAAACCCCGCCCCCTTAGCAGAGACCACGCCCCTTTTCGAAGCCCCGCCCCTTTTTGAGACCCCTCCCCTTCCCTCAAGCCCCGCCCCTTTTGAGGCCCCGCCCCCTTACTGAGGCCACGCCCCCTTAGCGTTGACTTTGCCCCCTTTACTGAGGCCCCGCCCATTTGTCGAGGCCCCACCCCCTTTGCTGAGGCCACGCCCCCTTTGAGGCACCCCCCTTAGCTTTAACCCCGCCCCCTTTATTGAGGCCCCGCCCCCTTTTTGAGGCCCCACCCCTTTGTTGAGGCCCCGCCCCTTTTTCGAGGCCCCGCCCCTTTTCGAAGCCCCGCCCCCTTTTGAGGCCCCGCCCCTCCGGCCCCGCCCCCGCACCATCCAGTCGCTCTCGGTGGCCAAACAGCGAATCCACTTGCCCAGCTGGGGACGGCTGCACTCCTGGAACCAGTACGGACCAGTTACAACCAGTTAGAACCAGTACGGACCAGTTGGAACCGGTATGGACCAGTTAGAACCAGTACGGACCAGTTAGAACCAGCACGGACCAGTTAGAACCGGTATGGACCAGTACGGACCAGTACGGACCAGTTAGAACCAGTTAGAACCAGCACGGACCAGTATGGACCAGTTAGAACCAGTACGGACCAGTATGGACCGGTTAGAACCAGTACAGACCAGTTAGAACCAGTACGGACCAGTATGGACCGGTTAGAACCAGTACGGACCAGTTAGAACCAGTACGGACCAGTATGGACCGGTTAGAACCAGTACGGACCAGTTAGAACCAGTTAGAACCAGTACGGACCAGTTAGAACCAGCACGGACCAGTTAGAACCAGTTAGAACCAGTACGGACCAGTTAGAA